TCTTACCAAAACTCCAGTTGTCTCTAAACAATTCCATAAACAATGCAGATATAAATCTGTATGAAAACAAGCAACAGATGCAACCAGAATCACATTTCAATGTTCAGCTTTTCTTGATTAAAAACTACTTTATACTCACAGTGTATTACATAGAGCATCCATGTTATCTGATTGTTTTTAAAAGAATGCTCATGCAATGTTATATTTTGGCACTACAAAAACCTTCATAAATTCATAATGAAAAGAAGCAAACATTATTTATCTTTAAAATCTGGGCACTAAATTTAAATTTCCTCCTGGAAATTTTAATTAGCAATTTGAAAAATGCTAAGGCAAAGTATCTGCTCCCAGTTGTCTGTTTAGGTTAAATTAAATTATTTCTGAAAGTAATATAATTAGAATCCTTTTAGCTCTTAATCAATATCTTATTTACATTTATTTTCCTCATAGTACTTGATTAGTTCTTTTGAAAAGGGTGGGGTAGCCTATTTTCTGTTTGTTACATACTCAGATGTATCTGTGCTTTCACTGACAAATAAACCTCTTGCAGTGCAGCAAGAGTGTAGAAATCATAAAGTGATATGGGTTTTTTTTAGGTGGGTAACTGGAATTCTATCATGTCTCAACAGGAATTACATTAATAAGTTTTCAGCTGATTCAACTTCCTACATGAAAATATCTCTCACCGGAGAATACACAGAAGTTATACATTACACAAAGGGCCTGATTCACCTAGTTTCACTTAAACTTCTGCAAAATGAAGGGAATAGAGACAGTAAAACTTATCGTTCTTATTTAGTTACACTTTGCACTCTGACAGACACAAAGTAAAGCCCTAAACCTGGACTGAGCCAAGCCCTACACCTATTAGACCTCCACTGATATTAAGGACTCCACATAACTACCCCCCAACAATCACACTTGATGACTCATCTTACAACACAGAATGACATATTCCTGATATACAAAGAACCTGTTGGAATGCAAACCGTATCAGCAATGGTCAAATAGGCAACCATTCTCTTCTATCTGTGCTTTATTTCTGAAGATTTTGGTTGGTCTGTTCTCTGTGACACCATGGCACCTTTTACATCAGCCATAGACTGTGTTCTACAAAATGCTGTGAACTCTAGTTCCAGTTAGATTTGGATCACAGTAGCACATGGTTAATTTTGACTGATGGAAGGACAGAGAGATATATTATATAATACCATCTACTTCAGCAAGTTTTTCCAGTTGTTCTAGCTAATCAATGTTTCTCTGCAAAGTTGGATTCTGCACAGTTCTTTGGGGCTGTTGTATCTCAGAGACAGGAGCTGTGGTGTCAGTGCACCTTTTTAACCCAGCCCATGAGATTCCAAAGTCACAGGAGTTCAACAGGTGACTGCAGCCAAATAGCCAGCTCTCCATATTTGATGTGAGGAGCTGTGCCCAGCATCAACGCTCTTGGAGCAGGAGGAAGGCAGTGTCTTCCCAGCGGTGTGAGCTGAAAGCATCAGAAGTGGGGGAAGGTCAGGCAAGATGCCTCAGGTTTTATGCAAAGTGCTTAAGGTTTGACAGGTCTGTTAAGATCTCTTTTTTGGCAGACACATTGTGTTTATATCTGAGGTTTGATATATTTATGCATACAGTGTGTGTATGCCTGAGCAATGAAAATTAGTCAGTCCAGTGTTTCACCAAAACTGAAACCCAAACAGAAATTAAAGTGTTTCATTTACTTTTTTTCTCTCCTGGACCAGAACTGAAGTACAAACATCCTAGAGTTAACTAAAGAAAATGTTTTTCTGAGACCTTTGCACCTATTTTGTATAGCCTGAACCTATTTTGCAGAACCAAGAGAGTAATTCATCTATTTCAGATAAATATCCAAGCTGAAACTGTCAACCCTGAGTGCTCATAATTATGTAGTTGAATCAGTATTTAGCAGTGATGTGAGTAACTTGATTTTTTTCAGTATTTATAAAGGTGTACGTGTAGTGTTGAAAATTATGGCAAGTGCAAGCTCTCTAGCACCTGTTTTATATCTTCCCTTTCCCCACATATCAGATACAGGTTTCTATAGCCTAAAGTGACTTTCTAAACAACACTTCAGACCTCGAACTTTAGGTTATGGTTTGAAAAAGTTCTAAAAGTAGCAAAAATTCTTTAGTTGGTACAAAGGGAGGGATCCAAAATGAAGCAAATTTTGGGGCAGAGTGTACTCTCAGCAGTCTCTCCCCACAGAACTGGGAGGCAAGGCACAGAAGGACATACTGCCACCCAGAGAGACCTCAGCCAGCTGGAGAAACAGGCTGATATCTGGAACCTCACGAACTTCAACAAGGGAAAGTCCTAAGTTCTGCACCTAGTGAGAGGTGCAGAAGACCCAGATAATGATGGGGGCCTGATTGGAAAGCAGCTTTGCAGAAAAGGCCTCAGGGGTCCTGGTGGACCAGGAGACAGAAATTTGACCTTGATGTAAAGAAAGCTAATGTAACCTGGACTGCAATAGAAGGAGTGTTGCCAGGGCATTGAAGGAGGTGGTTCATCCCCTCTGCTCAACAATGGTGAGATCATACCACACCACACCATATGTGTCCAGTACTGAGCTTCCCAGTACACAAGAGATGTGGACATACTGGAGAGATTTTAAGGATGGACCACAAAGATGATGGAGGGACTGAGTGCCTCTCCTGTGAGGAAAAGCTGAGAGAGTTGGGACTGTTTAGTCTAGAGGAGAAAAGGGTTTGGGGAGATCTTATCTGATCATATAAGTATCTGGAGGGAGAGTGTAAAGAACATGGTGTCCAGTGATGAGAAGCAACGGGCAAAAAATGAAACACTGGAGGTTCCATCTTGAACCTCTTTTTTATGGTGAGAGGGACCAAGGGTGACTGGCACAGGCTGACCACAGAGGTTGTGGAGTTTCCATTCTTACAGGTACTCAAAAGACAGCTGGACATGGTCCTGGGCCACTGGCTCTTGGCCCAGGATGGCTGCACAGGAACAAAATGGCTTTTTTCACTGGATCACACAACTAACTGCTTTTATTTGTACACTTCTAACTCATCCTGAGGTCCATTCTAGTAGAAACAAAATGGAATGTTCCTAGTCTGAATCTTATTGAGGTCAGAATTTCTTTCACGTAAGAAGCAAAAAATAGCTTATCTAAGTCTAAACTAAATTTTGCAGCAAATTAGTTAAAATGCATTAGACTTCTCTGCAGATAAACCATTTTAGTAACATTTTAAATGAACATAAGTAGTTTAATGTTGCTTTGGGAGCAAAGTAAGCTAAATCAAATTAAAGCAGCTTTAATTCTAGATAAGCCATAGAGTTGTAAGCAATTTAAGGTAACCAAATTTAAAAGTATTTTTTTCAGTTATTGAGCAACAACTCTTCCAGCATCTCTGTGTGAATAAATTTTCAACAGCCTCTTTGTTTGCCTTCTATTTCTGGTGCTGCTTTTCTCAGCATGTACCTAAGCAATCTGATTTTGGCTTACGTTTTGACCAGTTGATATTTCTGGTGGCTCTTTGGAAGGATTTTTTGGAAGGCCTTCCAGAAAAATAATAGTGGTCATTAGAGGTCTTCTCTGCTAGTCAAAGAAGGTTCTCTCCTTTGTCTTCAACAATTCATGGCCCTTGGGAGAGCGAGAGAATTGCAATCCGTTGGAAAATGGCATCTATTATGCTTAGATGCAAGATATTTCAGAATTTCTCATTCAGTGCTTTTAGAAACCAGCATTTTTAAAAGAGGTCTAAGAAACATGAAATGTTCTTGGCAAGTTTGAAAGAGCAACTCCGCATAGGAAATGATTTTCTGGTAGTGTGTGGTGCATAGATATTGTATTGCAATGCAGATTTCAAAATGCAATTGTACTTCACAGGACATCAGTTTCAAAAGCGTGGAAAACAATGGCATACATGGATTTTGGAGGAAATCTCCTGCCAACTCCTTCCAATTTCTTCAGGCCATCTTATTTCTAATCACTTTCCACAGCACCATCATATGGTTTCCTGGTCATGCAGGAGAGAAAAACCAACCCGAGTCTATAAGTGTTCTGATATGTGGAGAGACAAGACCTCACAGACAGAATAAATGCACAGGCACACACATACACCAGAGAGAAACTACAGAACAAATGACATAGAAATACAATGGTAAATGTCTGGGAAATATCCATTATTTCTTCACAGGGCCTGACAAATGCTGAGAATATCTGAAATCAGATAAAGTACAAAAACCTCAAAAAGGTCTACTTTTAACTTCATTTATATCTATTTTTACCAAAAGTACAGTATAATTATATTAATTGAAACTGTTCTCTTTACAAAGGGTAGGGAATGATGACTTAAAACCTCATTTTAAACTATTCGTAGGTCTTCATGTGTAACTTAAAAGTTAATGTTACTGTCAACAGAAAATTAATTAATTTGATAAATAATCATGTTATGGTTTCAAATAAAAAAACTGTGTCAGCCATTTAATTTGCCAGTCACACTAAGGCATTATTCTAAGTTAATTAAAATGTTTTCTTTTTTTTTCTAATGCTTTTCATTTGCATTCTGACCATTTCCTGATGTTTCAATTAGTTTTTTTCACAGACAGTTTATAATGAGCATCAAGTTAAGATCAAGCCTTACTAAAATTCATGACACTGTTACTCAACCAACCCTCAAGCCCTGTTTGACTTCATAATATTTAAGATGACATAATATTTCAGATGATTTGATGTGTGTAAACAGATACCAAATTCAGCTACTGTTTCATATGTACTTAATGTATGTAATGGCATTTATGGAAATAGTCAAATTTTTTTCAGTTTTCTACTCCAACTGAAATTGTGCCCAAACTGGAATATTTTGGAAATCATACTGACTTTGATGAAGTTTTGATAGGATTATTTCTGAACTCTAGAATAGACTTGGAAGATGAGAGTAAAAGATGAAAAACCTGAGTTTCTTGAGCTAAACATGGACATTTTTCCAAAGTCCCAAAAGAATTTTGTTGCCTTCTAGGATGAAGGGGAAGGAACCAGGCTCCTGACAGGAGGAGAAGAGAGAATCCAGGATGAGGGCATAGAAGGAGTCTGCAAGGCTGGACTGTGGATCCTCTTGACAAGGAGAATGAATGACTGTTATTCACAGTGGGAATTAGGTAGGTGGTGGTTTTGAATATTCAGGCACATTCTTTCATCTTAAAATGTCTAAATACTTCTAATAAATCTCAGTCTGCAAGACTGAAACAGACATATTACAGAAAGAAAGAATTAAGATGTCTTAAGATAAAGGTAGGAAGCCTGAACCTAGTTTGATAAAACAAAGGTAATTGATGGTTCAGAGGGGTCAGACTGATCAAGTCAAAATTGCTGAGGGACATATTTTAAAAACAGGTTTAATTAAATGATTTGGAGAGAGGACTTTGAAATTTAGGGAAACTAGAGATGGAGATCTTGCAGCAATGGAAGAAGGGAGATATGACAGCATAGATGTCTCAGCAAAAAAATAACAGATTAAGTACAACCTGGAGAAGCAACATGGATATGTAAGCAAAGAAACAGGAAAAGGTAATTCCTAGCTCATAACCATGGAAATAAGAATATACTGAAAGAACAGGATACAGAAACCTGAATACTTGGCTTTTGTTGCTTGTGCGCTTAAGGAAGGGCTGTGAAGACTCAACCATTTTCCCACCCATTTGCAACTCCAGGAAAAAAGATTAAATGTGAATATTTTTCTTAAAATGCACTTTCCTTTGTACATAAGTAAGAGCCAGCCAGGTGCCCTCTCATTTAACAACCAAATTCAGGACTCTCCTGGTATGAATTAGTACGCCATGTTCAGTTCAAATGCCAACATACAAGGATCTGATTTTCTAAAATGGAAAGTGCAAAACGTTTCAGAATAAACATTGTATCTTATGACTTAGCAAGAGTCATATGTTTACCACAGTGCTGCCAAAGTACAGAGAAATTGCAAATGATTTAGGTAATTTCAAATTACTTCTGGGGCAAGCACCCAATCTGAGAGATCTGAAAACTGAGCTGTTTAAAAAGAAAGCTTCCAAACACAGTTATTTCATTTCAGCAAGCTGTACCAGTAGCATGCCAGTCTGAGATCTAATCTAGCAGCAGCTTTTGGTCTAATACAGTAACTGTAGCTCATATGTTTAAAAACATTTTGTCTAGTTAATCTGGGTAACTGTGCTAACAGCACAGGAAGGCGTACCTGTGAGATTTAAAAGATTGCAGGCAGCTATTTGACTATATAATTGTCACTGTGCCTGAACTGAGGTGACAAATGGATTCTACATTTAACCAGCAAAAGAGTTTACATGGATGGCATCAGAAAACAGCCCCCACCATCACCTCGAAGTTAACAGGACATCAAATTTTGGCACAAAGTTTTAAAAGTTTCTTGGTCATCTCAGTGAACTCTCTCAGATAGAAGAAAGTATCAAGAGAAGTAACACCTTTCTGTATTGCTCAGATATTTTATCCTACTTGTTTAGTTTATCAAATGTTAGATCAACTTCTTTTTAAAATAGCTGACCAGTCAGTTGGAACATCTTACAGGCAGTGCTGTGAGAACAGTGATGGACAGCTGGGTGAGCTCAGTCTGCTCTGTAACTCGGGCATGATGAGCACAGGTGTATGTATGCACACAGTTCATCCTAGCAAAAAGTAGTGCAATCATTCCATTAGGGCTTCAGTTCCTGGCCTGAGCTGTTGTCAGTGTCTCAGCACTAACACACCAGGAGATCTGGTACCTGACACAAAGAATATGCAAAGTGCCATAATATCCCTTCTTCTCTCATTCTTCTGCTACTGTAAAATTGTCATCCAATAAGGTTTTAAAAAGAGTAAATTATTGTTAATCTTTCAGCTATCTTTTTCTTGGTTCCTTTTTTTAATTACTATTTTATCCACAAAAGAAATTCTCTCCTTAAAAATTATTTCATATAAATAATCCAATGTCAGACCACTTAGCTTTTCATTTAAAAGGAAGATGAAATAAATTAGTTTGATACTTCATAATATACATTGATCTACTGGACAGGTTTACAATACAATACAATTTAATTTATAGAGTATTTCATAATACTGACATCAACAAAATGACTCACAGTGAATTTTAAACACATCATCATAACACATCCATTGACCAAATTAGAAAAATGTTTTTGCTGTATTTATTTTTTTAGAAAATCTAAACAAAGAAAGATGTGGTTTATCCTAAAAAAAGGAACTATAAATGTCAGGATAACGATGAGACAATATCAGTTCATCAATAAATGTCTGGAGGCAGCAGTAAACAGGTATGCTAGGTTTGCAGGGAGCTCTGAAACAAAATACTCACAGTAAGTGTCATCCCCTACTGTCCCACAGCTTGGGAAAATGTTTTCTTCATTATTTGTGTAAAATAATGAAGATAACTAATTCGATATAACTCTTTGCTTCTTTCTATGTGAAGCAATTTCTACTGAGAAAAATTGTACTGGATTCTGCACCTGGGATGGTACAATCCTGGATATATTTCCAAACTGGGGGACAAGAGGTTGAAATGCGGCCCTGCTAAAAGGAATGTGGGAGTTTTGGTTGATAGTGAGCTCATTATGGGCTCAATTGTCAAGAAACAGAAGCAAGAAAATGTACACCTAAATCTGACTCAGAAACTCCTAATTTAAAATGTATAAAATAAGCCAAACAATAACACCAACACATTTCTTATAACATAGTAGCTGTGCAACTTCAAATCTGTAGGTTCAGCCTTGATAATAGGAACAGTCAGTGGCATTACATTCCAAATAATCAATGTTCCTTATGATTAAACCCACAAAAGGTGGAGAATTAGCTTGCTGTAAGAGCACCACAAATGTGAACGCAAAGGGAATAAAGTTACTTATTAATTTCAATGAAAGAGTATTTTGTACCAGCTCTACTCTGGTACAAGAATGTACTGAACTTCCTCTGTTTCTCCTGAGATAAGCTGGGGTATCTCTAGGGTTGCTCTTGCTCCTTCTTCTGTCCTAGGTTCTCCATGACTTATGGAGACTTATGGAGACTTATGGAGCCACAGACTTAGAAGTTAATGCACCCTCTCTAATAACCCTGTTCAACCACTGTCCCAGCCTGTTCAGCTTTGCACTATGCAAACTAATCCCAGCTGGGCTGAGAACAGCTTTTACTGTTCAATTACTGCCATCGATAAGAGGGTTTCCCCTTTGGAAAGGTACACAGCCAAAATAGCAGGAGCAAACTTGTACTGTCACACACATATAAACCTGATCATCTCCTTCTTGCCAGCCCCACCCCTGCATTAGATAGCCATACAATTTCTGTAAGAAATATTTATATATGACCAGATCATCAGCTAATGTGAATTTGATTCGGTAAAGCCATTCTGAATATCTTTCTGTATTTTCATTATTTCTTTCACTGAACTGTGCTGAAGTGATTTTTTTCTTAAACGTTGCAACTTCTCCTTTTTCAAGCTTTTCTTCCAAAGTCATTTGATTCTAGGCAGGGGTGAGAGGAGACTTTCAAATGCTGCTCTGCATGTACTAGCTGGTGTTTCTATCTATATTTTAAGAGTCTACTGATTTCTGGAAATATAAGTTACTCTTCAGATGATCATTTTCCCGGACTCCAATGCAGGCTTCTTGTTAAAATTTTACTGAAAGAGGATAACACTATTTGTTCAGCACAGAAAAGACTAAAAAATAAAAGCAAGATGAACTTTCACATTTTTTGATGTCTTAACTAGCACCATAATTTTCCTCTTCTCTGTAACTATAACCATTAGGAAACATATCACAGTTATAGTAAAATAAATATCAGCTTTCAAAAGGCAAGAATTCAACATAGGCAGTTTAAGAATTAAACAGTGTCTGTTCCACCCTTTTTGTAGAGGAATAAATGACCACAGCAGTCGAGAAAGTAGCACTCTACTCTGCAATTAGAAGTGATGGATAAAATGAGAGTAGAACTGCAAAGCTGTCATTTTCAGATATTAAAAAGACAAGTATTTTTCTAAGCTAACTGGAAAAATCATTTGCTCATCTACTTATTCTGCTTAGATGTCAAAAAAAAATAAAAGCTTTATAACATTTAACATTTTAATGATTCTGAAGAAATAGCAAACTTGGGCCCAATTTTCCTCTCATCGGACATGACAAGAATTTTTGTCTTTGAACTCAGAGTAAGTGGACATAGATCCTTGGTTTTAAAGGAAATTAATATTTGAGAAGCTGATAATATAAATTTAGAATATGATGTTATGGTTATGGTGATATAAATTTGGAGTTAACACTTTTTAGTCATACTAAATTTGGACAGATTTGTTTCTTTTCATCTTGTACTTTCTTCCAGTTTATGAACTTTCTGAACAGTTACAGGTCTGTGAGGCAGGCATCCAAACTCCAGAAATGAACCACACTAAGATCCCCTTAAAAAAAGGGCCAGAGTCAACTTTCCATTCCCCCATTAAACCCCTGTTAGGCTTACAGTTCCCTAGGACCAAAGGGAGGAACTTCCCTCAAGACTGTGACCTTTGTAGTAAGCCAGAACAGTTTTGATGTTTTCCTTGAAAGCAGGGAGTTTCCCTAGTTGTGCACAAATGTTTCAGATATATAGGGTCACTGCTAAGCAGCAAAGTAGCAGCAAAACACCTAGTTCCAAATTCACATTTTTTTGAGAAGAATTGGTCAGTGGCAGCTCACCTGCTGCAGCACATAAACCAAACAGCTTTTCTGTTAAACAACTGTGTAAGTGTGATAGTTATAGAGGGGTCAGAAAAGGTGGAAGTTCTGGGCTGGGTTCTCAGATCCTGGAAGCTCCGTGGTTATATTGGAGTCAATGGATCAATGTGGTTTTCTCCATGAGAAGGCTTGGCCATCCAAGGCATTAAAATGTGTCCCAGGACTTGTTCTACCAAAGCCATTTAGCAGTTCTGCCAGCACAGGACAAACTGTGCCATGTTCTGCGGAACTTATTAGGTGCAGGAAAGTCCTCAGACTGCCCCACAACACTAAACTGATTATTGTTCACATCATAAATAGTGACCAGTGCAGCACTGCAATGAAAGGTGATAGTTTTTGTCCCAGAGGGACCCCATGCCAGGCTGGCAGCTGACTGTTGTGCTGCTCTATTTGCCAGTACTGCTCCTTGCCGGGGACATCAGCTCTGAATGTGTGTTGAACAGAATGCTAATGAATATGGCCCTGTCACTGTGCACTCTCAAATTCCTGAAAAATAATGATATTAAAAACTATTGTCCTTATCTAAATACTGCTCTATTTTTCCTGTAAAGGTCATTAAGTAGTTTTCAGTGTCAGTACTAAAGAAAAAGCTGGGAGCCATTTGTAATCCTGACAGTATTGTCCCAAATTGTGAGTTATGACCCTGCCAGTCATGATGCTGCTCAACCACATGTAGCCACTATCACTGCATCACCACAGCTCTGCAGTAGCATATTCCTCAACCAGATTAATTTTATACCATATTTGAGGACGTTTTTTCCCCAAGAGCAAACCTAATGTTCCTACCTGCCCTTTAATCACTTCTGGTTCATAGCAATCTGTGTCAGAGAACATTATAACAATAATATGTAACTCTAGGGAACACTGATATTACATAAACTGCAGCATAATACTTAACATATTAAATTCAATTTCTCAATTTAGCTATTCTCTGTCTGTTTTACTTGGCTTTAAACTAAACAAATTTCCAGTGCCAAATGCAGCAGTTGGAACTGACCACCTACAGCACAAGATTAAGGAAATGAAAAAATGCTGTGTATTTGTTCTGAAGCTAAAACCTCCTTCTCTTCAGCAAAGGAACTTCATTGATTATAAACCACACTGCTTTAAATTAAATAAAATGGAAGTATAATGAGCTATTGTGGAGTGAGGTATAGTTTATGTAAAGTTTTTCAATCTCATAAACTCCAAGGGAGGTCACTCTTCTACTAAAAGAATTTCCCAAGTTTCTCTATGAAGAAACATTTATCTGTAAACCTGGCAACTTTATTATAAAAGACAGTACAAGAAGCGGAAGGGAGAGAAGTTGATTTTGGTTCATTTGAGGCCCTTCTTATTCACCCTGTCTGTAAATAACATCTTCCTGAGAGTGTCACATCTTTTAGGGCTCTATGGAGCAAATCTCTGCTTTGCCACTGCAGTCAGACCTCCAGAGGCTTCAGCCTGACCAAGCATGTGGAACACAGGAGCCACATCCTTCAGCCTCACAGTCTCAGAACTTTGTCAGCATCTCTCTAACTGCTGTAGCATGAAGCTACAGTAGGAGTTATGGAGGAACACAGCTTTCTCTGTTTGCCCAGACACAGAAGGTGACCTACACCTCCTGAGTTATTCTGACTCCAGTGAGTGTGCTCAACAGGGGATGAACAGCAGCAGATGAGAGAAAACAGACAGACTCCAGAGGCAGGGTGGCCCTGATGCCTATTTCTGACAAGAGAAAGTACTTCCTTATTTCTGAGTCTCACTAACTCACACTATTTTTAATGTTTATCCAGCCACCTAAAACAAGGAAAAATTAAGGTGTAAATTCATTCAGAAATGTAATAGTGGAGTCATTATGATGCTTTCTCAAGGACAGGTACAGTTGGTTGGAGGATGTAATTGTCTAGTTAACAATATCTTTCTTAACCTAAGTTCTATTAAAGTCAAAGAAAATAATTTCATTACAGTTTGTGTGCTGGAGAAGAACAATAATATATAATATTATAGGTGCTACTCTATGAGCTCTCTTCCATTCTGTCTAATTTAAACCTAATATTTAAAAAATCATTCAGTATATATTTCAGTCTGTCCTGTATGTCCACTGAAGGAGCATGACTGAAGATTCTCCACAATGTCCCACTCCCATGTAAGGGAAATAAGTTCAATTTTGCCATTTATTTTAAAGCTTGACTTGCATACTTATATTACTGCATACTTGTGTGAAATCCAAGAAGTCTGTTCAAGTTACAAGTCAGCTCAGAGAGAAGCAGAAGCACAGGAGAAGAAAAATATAATATATGTTCAGTGCCTGCTGAGTATGGAATCATCAGGTCACTTGAAAATATATAAAATTAATCTCAGACAGAATATTGGAATTTCACTCAAATTATAACCATTTTGAATAAATAATTTCCAAACCAATTTAAATGGTAGTCTTCCTACATCTCCCACCTTCTCTGTCATTCTTGATGAAGTCGTAGTATATTGGATAACTGCTACTAAGCCTGTTCTTCTTTTCACAGCACCAGCTGCATGCATAGTAGCCATGAGATATCACCAGGAGTAAAGGGAGTTCTGTAAAATTAGGGAAAAGAAGAGATTCTACGGTAAAAAGTCCATAAAGCACCAGCACATCCTGGTTTACCATGTCCCTATTCAAGGTAAGCAAGTAAAATGTTGAATGACTCTCATGAATGAAAGCATTTGTGACTCATTTCAGAGAAAGTAAATAGCAACAGACCATTTAAGAGATCTCAGAAAGACACCACACTATGTTGTAGGTCTACAATTATGTCAAGAAAGACAGAGAGAATTTTTAAAATAAAGAAAGACCAAAAGACTGAGAGCAGACATCACTAGAAAGGCCATGGGGGTGAGTTATGTATTAAGCACTAGAAAGGTCATGGGGTGAGTTATGTATTCAGCTTTCTCAAAAGCCAGCCAAGAATTACTATACAGCCCAATGTGGAAAGTTTTTTTAATATCCTTCTCTATAATGATAGAGAAAATTAAATTCTAGTAATTTTATAGTTAACCCATTCCCAAATTGTTAGTTTTATTCACAGAGATGGTTCCTCTCAATATATTTTACTAAGCTCCACTCTAGCAGATTGGTAATTGTGGCTTCAGTCCAACAAAGCACACATAGAGGTGAACCTGCGAGTAGTTGAATAGATTTTAGTGAAGTATAGATATGTTTAGGGTATTCATACACTGAACTGCTTTGCTGGACTGTGGTTTAGATGAACACCATCTCTATATCACTCCATCAGCCTGTCCAGCAATGCAATGAAGCCAGCAGAAAGTTAATGTGATTGTTAAGTCATTGGAAATAGGGCATGCACAAGTCTAGGAAATCATCTTGTGGAAGCATTTGTCTGAAATTAGTTCTTGCTTTTTCAAATTAGCTCATTTTTCTGAATAAGAGAGCTGACTATTCTGTCCAAAAATGGTGAAATTAAATAAAATTAACATACTCAGTGATTAATCAAAAGAATAGGTGGCACCAGATTGCAGCATAAGAGCACATTTTAAAGGAAAAAGGCTGTTCAAAAAACAAATGCAAAAGATATATGTGTTTTGTTAACAACAGAAAAATAGTACTATTCATGCATTTTTTTAGTTCTGAATAATATCCTGCTAATTAAAATTAGTGTCAGCTAAATTTCCTGAATAGCATTTTAGCAACAATAAAGAAAACAATCCAAATTTCCTTTAAATACTTTGCTGCACATTAGAAATAATTATCAATTAATTTACTTAAATACCAGGCTTCTGCTACCATAGTCAATGAGGCTTGTACTACACAGCAAATTAGATTGCAAAACCCTAGTACAATCAGAAGGCAAGGACCTATACTGAAAAATCATGAAATGGTGCTGAGCTCAACAGGCAAAATTATCCCCAAGGATTTGTGCAGCATTGGACCAGTACCCTGGATGGGCAGCCAGAGGCAGGTGCTGACAGAACACTGCAGGACACAGAGCAGTTGTCTGACCAGGCTTGAGCCTCTTCCCAGTGAACAAGACCAAGAAGTGAGCATTGACAAAGCTGCCTGGGTGATTCAGGAGATTAGGTCCCATTTCAACATGCCTTAGGTATTCAAGTCTTAAAGAAACCCCAGGATACTTGGGCTAGAAAACACAGATTTTCTGAAAGAAAGCAAAAGATACGTAAAAACTCAGATAAGCTTTTTTACTTTAAAAAAACACCTCTGTGTGCACGTGTGGTTTTAAGCAACTTTAAGACAGGTTATTTCATTTAAATTTTTCTCTTTCTTCTTCTACCTTTGAGAACATGGTTCAGAGGCCGCTGAAATCAATTAAAGCCTTTCTCTGTATCAGTGATTTTGAACATCATTTGTGAAAAACCATCATGCAGTTGGCAGACAGACATCTGAGCACAAGCACTACACTTTATATGCACTCTGTACTTGAGTCAGGAGACTATTTGAGATCTCATATGAGACCATCTAACCTATCTTGCTAGCTGTGCACAGGAGCATTATCAATAGGTCCATGTGATTTTAAGAGTAAGAAGGTAAAAGTTTACTGAGTTACTGCTTTTCCACAGGTGATTAGACAGAGACCATAGACTTTCCTCTCCCTATTGCAGTAGGATTACTGTAACCATGATCCAAGGATATAAAAGAAACAGGGAGGAAAGTTGCTTTCATTGAAAAGTTTGAGGTGGAAAAGTACCCAGTAAATACCTATTCAAGTCCGAAAAGGCACAACAGACCTTCAGCTAAGTAAAGATTAGAAACAATTGGTCCAAGTTCACTATGAGAAAGCAAAGCAGTTACATAATTTGATCATCCCTTCTCCTTCTTTCAAAGTACTAGGGTTTATATTAAACCTCAATATTAAGCCTTTTGCATCAGGGTGGAAAAAAAAAAAAGTCAACCAGGAACTGTGGGGAACTAGTTGAAATGAAAGTGGAGGATATTAAAATGTCCTATAACCTCAATATCTCTACTTAATCCATGGAAAAATTCCCTCTGTATCCTGTTTCCTATGTTTTTTCTGAAGTTATTTTCTACGTGTAGAAAACACATGAGGAGGACATGAGGTCCATGAGAACCAAGACTGATACTTCTAATTTCAGTATTTGTGAGGCAGAAGCACAGGGAAAAGTAGCATAGAGAAAACAGAGGAAAACTGGAGAGAACAGGCTTTGGGGGAAAAAAAATCAATGTTGTAATTTTTAATGTCTATCCATAGTTTCCTGCATATTGTTTCTCTCAGCTGTGGTTGTACAAGTTGGGACAGGTAGAGACTATAGATTTTCAGGTTTATATTAGGTAACTTGGCTTCTTTATTCTGTCAAGGTTCTTTTCATGATGAAAATGAAAGAGGGAGGGGAGTTTAAAAAAAAAATCTTGGAAGATGTTTCTTCGAGTGCTACAGTTTTTGTTGGTTTGGTATATTTTTCCCTAATGCGCACAAGATGAAGTTTGCCACAAATATTTTCAATCCTACTAAAGAAATCTATTCTGTTTTAGGTAGTGTTTATTACAGAAAAAAAAAGAAAAAAAAAAAAGGCATCAGGGCTTGACCTTAAGTTCCAGGAGGCTTTGTGAAAATAAATAGCAAAGGTATTTTAATATTGAATTGAAATGACAGGATAGTGTGAGAGTGTGTGTGTGTGTGTGTGTGTGTACACCAGATATTTCAGGCTAATGTGAAGATACCTACATTTTTTCCTATCCTATTTCAAATAACAATTACTGCAATTTTTCTTTTGTTTTTTTCCTTTGGGATATTTTCAGATTTTAGCTATATGTTCTAGCCTAAAACATGAATGCAAAGAGTTGATATTTTCCTAGGCCACAAAGACCTTAGTTTTGTTTAACTTTAAACTTAAGTAGTTTAGTAGTTTTAACAGTGATTTTTTTGTTGTGGAGTAAGGAGCTGAAGAAAACAACTGCCAGATAATGTGGAGAGGAGGCAGAAGATTGTTATTCTTCTGAACTAGAATATCAGAAGTTCAAAGAGTGAAATAATGTCTCATAGTCTAATACGTTCTTTATTCATAACATAATCTGTCTGCACACTTCACATTTTCCCCTTGGCCTTGCAGGAGAAAAAATTGTCATTATATTTATGATTTGTTACACATAAAATATACTTTATTTTCATTTATGTAATTTATATTACATTTGTAAACAGATACATCCTGTCTAAGCAATGCACAGCAACCTGAGGGACCCGGGGGTACAGTGACTCATTTAACAAGCAATTACCTCGGAAAGATTAGGGAATTAAACTGTACCTGACAAAGCTACTGCTGAGTAAAAGATTCTGTTCTGGTTTTCTTTGAATGTATTTGTTTTAATTCCAAAAAAATCACCAAAGCTGATAAAAAAACCTTATATCTGATAAAAAAACATTACATGACAGCAATGAGAGCAGGCTTAGAGCATGCCAAGTACTTATTAAAGAAATATTTTTTTTTTAAGATAATTTAGACAATTCCACAGAAGGAAATTCCAGGTATTCTGTCTGTTTTAAACTATGAACAATTTTTTGGTCCTGAGTCCTAACATTCTTATCTTTCACAAATGAATCAAGACCAAAAAGATGGACTTATGTTTCGTGACCTTGTTATACTCCAGTTTCAACAAACTATTCATCTCAACTGATGGGTTCAGAGTGATACTCAAAACTGGTGCTCACATTCATCCTTCTCTCTTTTACACATTCATCCTTGACCCAACGGAAGAGGTTGAGGTGCCATCAGGGACTGCCTGGGGTCAGTTTTCCATGGGTGTTATTGCTGGGCTCTATCAGAAAGAATAGCCAGTACAACACAGAGACCTGAGTCAAGTGTCTTTAATTCAGTACTCTTCAGTACTCATGCCCATTTGCTGAACACTTGCATAAAGAAATTTGTTTCTACTCTATTTTCACTGAGGCTATTACCAATAAAACTGCTTATATAATTTTTCAGTAGCATCTTTGTAGCTTAACAGGAAGTGACAGCACAGTGGGAATAGTTATCTATACTTCCAGACAACAGCTCTGCTGAATCACTATATTCGATATGCTCCTGCATTACCCCTTACTTAAATGCATTGTTAAATTGAATTTAAAGGTTTCGGTCTGTGAAATCTGTCTTACTGTGGTTTGTTGGGGGCATTTTGTTTGTTTCTTTGTTTGCTTTGGTTTGGGTTTTTGTTTCATTTTTTTGTTTCATTTTTTAGCTTGTTATTTTTTCTTTCTTTTTTTGTGGAAATGACAGAACTTCCATCCTGCCTCTTTTGAATTTCACTCATTCCAATGACATATTGTTTCACAACAGGGTATCAAGAAAGATCAGATAGACCAGGATCAGATAGATCCTTATCCTGAAATGGAATTTGCATACAACAAAATGTCAGGTGTTGATGAAAATGTTGTTGATTCTTTCCACTTTTATTTTGCACAATTTTAAAAGTGAACAAAATAATCTTCAGTCCTCTTTTCTGCCTTTTAGCAGTGCATGAGCCTGCATAGCAACTCAGCCTGCACACATGGCAAAGACATTTACAAGCAAAGATTAGAATCCTTATTTGGAATAAACCATTGCAGTTTTATCACAGATAGATATCAGCTTAGGATATGACTACTTCTAACTCATAGAAACTGTTTCTGCAAGATGTATAAGCTACAAT